CCCAGGACAGGACACGCTATAGAACATACAGTAAGGCTAGGGTACGCCCAGGACAGGACACGCTATAGAACATACAGTAAGGCTAGGGTACGCCCAGGACAGGACACGCTATAGAACATACAGTAAGGCTAGGGTACGCCCAGGACAGGACACGCTATAGGACATAAGGCTAGGGTATGCCCAGGACAGGACATGCTATGGGCAATTTAGAGACAAAAATTAGCCTAACTGCATGCCTTTGGATTGCAAGAGGAAATGAGGGTGCCTGGGCTGAACCCAGAAGGAGAATTTGCTAGCTGAACACACAGAGCGGAGGTGGGATTCAAACCCCCAATGCTGCAGGTGTAGGACAATGACACTACCCACAGAAACACTCTACCTTAGCAGAAAACATGTCAATGAAATGTATTTCTGTAATACTGCGTTGGTGGTTTAGCATAAAATACTCAGTGGTGATGCAAAACCAGAAGAGATCCCAGAACTGGCTGGGGAGATGATTTCTTCACTCCAGGAAGGGTGCTCGAAAGGTCCTTTATGTTTCCGGCAGATTCCACCCCGATCTCTAGCTCTGCCAATGCAGAGGCAGGGACAGTTCCAGCGGCTTACAGATGGGGGCTCTCTGATGGCTTTTAATATACCAGTTAATCTCCTTTTTCCATCCGGGAGGGAGATTTGTCAAGCAGAACATCTTCAGAGACAGCATTAAAAGCTAGGTCCTGCTAGGAGAGTCTTCCCAGCATGGAAAGCTGGAGTTTGAGAGGCATTTTCCTGTGAGGGGGAGGGGAGACCCTGAAAGCAGGGCATCGTGGGTAAGAAGGACTTTTGTGGCAAACATGAGGCGGTGCGGGGGGGGAGTAAGCTGTCAGCAGTGAACACCCACTGAGTTTCCTTCAGTCTTGACTTCACCCCCACCTGGTGCTGCTCCCTGCCGTCTTTGGAGATGTACATCTGATTTTAATCGTATTTTTAAGCTGTTTGTCTTTACGGTCACTCGTCTCAGATGCGTCCAAGCTCCCCGCAGTGAGTACGCCATGTGCTGCTGTACACCGGTAGTACCTGCCAATCAGCTCGCACCATGTGGGCGGGCTCAATGCCAAATGGAAGAGCAGCGTGACCTTCACCGCTGGGAGCCAGTAGCTAACACCTAACACTCAGAGTAGTTGAGGCTGCCAATCAGCCCCTCCAACCCACTCCCCCAGTTTTTCCTACACCATGTGGGGTCACCTCTCATAGTCAGCAAACTTTGGACGTGATCACAGCTGAAGAATGACTGGGCCGTTCTGCAGAATTATGGGTGCATTATGTGCGTCATCCTCACACTGGCCTGTAAGCTGGAGAGTTACTTGTGTCACTGCAAGTGCACTGGGAGTACTGGGGCCTTTTGGCTTGACCATGGAGGCTGCAGAGTGGCTGCATTTGGGAATGCAACCATTCCAGTGTATCTATGTGCCCCTAGAAGGACAGGCCGCAGAACTCTGTGCTGGCTTGTGGCTGCTCTGTGGGTTAGGACTCTGTGTTTGTGGTCAGAAGGTTGCTGGTTCAAATCCCAGGGCTGGCAGAGTGATTTCACTATTAGGCACTTGAGCAAGGGCCTTCACCCCAATAGCCCCAGGGTCACTATCTGACTGCCCTCTGATTCTCACTTGTATGACACTTCAGACAAATAAATGTGATACTATAGTGCAGGGTTATTCAAATCACGGTCCTCGAGGTCCGAGCACTGCTGGTTTTCCAGCCTTTCTTTACCTGTCAGTCAGGTGTGAAGCTTCTGACCAATCAGAATCAGTAATTATTAAACTAACTACCTGGGAGAACTGAAAACAAGGCCTGGATTTGGAATCGAGGTCCAGATTTGAAGAGCCCTGCTATAGTGGGTGTAGTAGTGGCTTTAGCGCACAGACAACCTTTCAGTTGTGCTCTAAAAGGACAGCGCAGAGGCCAGCGCTTAAGCTTACGGATTCTCGTTAGTCTAACTCGGTGCTCGGCAAGTTTCAGGAGGCGCCCAAATAGCCTTAGTCATTAGTAAAAAAAAATACACCTTAAGTATGAATGGATGTAAATTCTGAGTCACTAGATAAAAGCATCAGCTAAGGAGTCAAATATAAATGACATCAGTAGGAGCTTTGGCTCAGTGTTACATTGTAACCTGAGCAGAAGTAGGGACTTTCAGGCAGGGCGTGTGTTCGTGACCCGATAATACCTGCAGTGTGCTTGTGCATTGTGGCTTGACCATGGAGGCTGCTTGTGCATTGAAAGAGGATGGATGTGTGACTGTGTGGCGTCGTATCTCCAGGGCTCTGCTTTATGGCCTAACTGTGAATGCAATCAAAAAACTAAAAATGCTATAATGTAGTATTTTGTTTGGTTACTTACGGTTAGGGTTAGGGCTGGGTAGGGGTTATGGTCGTCATGCTGGGATTAGAGTTTTCCCCATAGAAATGAAGGGAGAGTCCCCGCAAAGATATAATTACATAATTACAAAGATATAATAACCTGTGTGTGTGTGTGTTTGTGTGTGAATGTGCATTTTCCTCTAATGGACAGGCATTTCAGTCACAAGACATACAGTAAGTGCACAGCATCCTTGCTCTGGATCATCAGTTATGGTAAATGCATGTAAAATAGTTAATGGCAATGTTACTTAGCTAATGTCTGACGACGGGCTTATCCTCCTATCTGACCCACCCACCCATAAATGATGCCACGCGACCCCAAAGTCATGCGTCATGCGCACCGTCCTTAATGAGCGAATGTGTGTTTACGTAAAGCTGCACAGCACAATGTAACTGTGCACACAGAGCCGTTATATATAACACAGCATTGTGGCGGGATCATTATGTAACTCGACATTTACGCAACATTGCCCTGCAGCCTGCGACGAAATCCCTCGTAATCTCCGGGAAAAAAATTCTAAGTTTATCCTCCCCCAGCTATGGATCACAGCACCATGAAATCAGTGCTCCGGCTCCAGATTCAGTTCATTCTGCGTTTCTCTGCTCCTCAGGGGGGGTTGGGGGTGTGCTTAATTAAAGATTTATTCCGCTGCTGCCTGAGATGTTCCGTGACTCTCCCAACGAAGTGTGGCTGTTATTCACGCCACGTGCCAGGGAGCCCCCCGCATGGGACATTTCGATCGTACAGCCACGTAGACACACACACACACACACACACACACACACACAGAGGCATAAATCTAGAGAAATATTGCTGCCATTAAATAAGGGTGAGGAATGGCTATCAGCAGCTTCTCTCAGATGCGCATTCGCAGGAAATGAGCAGATGCAGCCTTCGCATGAACGGCTTAAGCGCATTTCACACCGTCTCCGCCCGCGTGCAGATGCCCCTGATGAGGCTGTGTGGAAGATTGATGAGTCCACTGCTTTGTAGCTCTGTGGCTCGTCAGCGCGGAGGGTGAAACCAAGGGGACAGTAGGTGTGTGTGTCATCTGACCCAAACAGGAACTTCCCCGTACTATGCTTGCATGCATGCGTCATGATCATTAGTCCAGGGAAAGCTGATGCAGTACCCGCCAATCTGCCTGAGGTAGTGCCCTACGTTACTATGGAATCCGGGCACAAGCACTATGGCTAATTAGCAATTCATTATTTATGAATATTTATCAAATGCAGCTCAAAGTGAGATGGGTACGAGTTTCAGGACACACAGGTCAAGGTTCTGCCGTTGCCATTGGCAATGCTCTGAGTCACATGGTAATTAGTGCCTTAGCTGGTAATACAAATGAGTCGGCGATAGCCTCTGTAGCTAATATCTTTGTTTTCACTTTAAATAAAACACATAAACCAAATAATAATGTTACTGTCTGGCTGAAAGAAAAACTACATTCATAAAAATATACACCTGCATTTCATCTCATTTTTTCAATCTAAATTGTAAGGATAGCTATACATACATACACACTCACACACACACACATACACACACACACTGTGTGTGTGCAGCCTAAATAGTATCCTGTGCTAGAACACAGTGTGTAGTACAGTAAGAATTGTGCAGTGTGTGTTCAGTAAGTGAGCAAGTGCTCCGTTCATCATCAGTGGGAGTTTTCTTGGTTGGTCTACACACCAGAGAAGGTGTTCATTCACCCTGTCGCCAAAAGGGGGCGGCCTTTTGACAGCACGATTGACAGACCACAGGAGGCTGCTGGGAGTTGATGACTGTACAAGTCATGTTTATTTCATGTGCTTTACAAGGATATAAATAATGAATAAAATTACAAAATCTGTGTACTGGAAGCCCGAGCTTATATACAGGTGTTAGTCTGCAGCGAGGTTCCCATTCGCTGGCCCTCATAAATCTCTCCGCTCTTTATATCACCTCATGGTGTTTCTCTCAAAATTTGGTACCGTATTTCCAGTGCGATGTACTGCGAATCTTACTACATTACATGTATGAACAATGAATTGGCAAAATATCTATTTACATGAGGACGTTTCTTTTTTAAATTCTAGTACAGTAATACTGTGGTAAAATATTACATCTGACTGAAACTGAGTTTTAGCCCCACGATAAATGACACAATGTATTTTCAAACGGAGCCCGTCCACACATTCAGGGCTGCAGTTTGTGTCTTTTTAATCTTTTTTCGACGGCTTCTTTTTAAAGCCCAGCTTTAGTTCAGCATATCATATAAAAATAATGTAACATTAAGACAACATTAGACCATAATTGCACAATAAGAATAGTAATAATATTAATGGTAGTATCATAATAATCATCGTAATAATAGTCCTATATTAAGCATTTCAGACGTCTGGCAATGGGAACACTGATGCAGGTGGCAGGCCCCCTCAGCACGCCGCCTCCCTGACGAGGCTGACCCACACCAGCCCGGCATGCCAGTCCGCTCACATTGTGCATAATAATACTGTGGTCTTGGCCACAAAGACTGAAACGAACAGCAAACAGGGGAAAAAAAGCAAAACAAGAAAAGGCAAAACCACAAGTCCTTTATCCTGCGGCGATTTCGCTGTTTGTGTGTCCGCCCCCCCGCCCCTCCCAATCCAACCCACTCCTCAACTGTTTTTGTAGGTGCTCAGGGGTGTGCCTTGCTTCCTGTCTTTCAGCCATCCCACCCCCCCCCCAGCCCTCCTCCCCAGCTCTTCCCAGCAAGGGTCACAGGTCACGCCCCGTGAGGGAATCCTCCCCGCCTCCCCTCCCCACCACACCGGTGACAGTTGTTGCCATGGCAGCGATGACTTCTGCAAAAGTGTACATTCTGCTATGAATGATGCTCAGCAAGCTCTGCGGTCCGCCAGAACTGCGTGTGAGACAGGGTCCGTGATTGGCAGGGCTGGGGGGGGTGCCTTTAACAGCGTGTCTCTGAGAAGGGGTCCGTGTTTAGCGGGGGCTGGCTACATTCTTTGCATTCCACAGTAAAAGACATGAGCGTCCGGCACTGCCCTGTAAAGGAGATCACATGACTTATCCAGAGGCTCCTCCCACAGCTCCGCCTCTCCTGCTGGCCACACCCCTCGTCACCAGGCCAACGCGGACATCATGCGCCCGATAAGTCACACGGCGCATCGCAACTTACACAGTTTGCGTGTTAAATTTTTTTTCTGTTTTTTTTTTTTCTTTTTTTTTTTAAGAAAACAAAAACATTTCTTTCATTGTTTCATTGTAAAACACTTTCTCTCCGTATTAACTCTGATACAAAGTGCTCGTTCTGCTTGCAGTTACTGTCAACGCGGGACAGAATCGACAGGGTCCCTCTCACATGTGCCACATGCCAGCCTTCTCTCTCCAATGGGAAAGATGCAGATTAATGGAGAATTCGTCTCTAGTACACAAGACAGTGGCTGCTGAAGAATGTCGCTCAAACCGTATGGAGGTGGGGAGTGACTTAAAACCCAATGGACAGAATAATGGGATGGATTTTGTTTTTTCTCGGGCACAAGTTTAAGAAGATCTGCTACATCGTGCACAGACAAGACACGTCACCTAGCAGTCCGTCCCTACAACGAGCGTCATGGCGGATCCCATCGGAACCACCCCCCCGGTCTCTCTCCTTTTTTCACCCCCTACAGGTCAGCCCTCTCCACAAGACAAAGCGCAAAGCTTAATGACGGGGGGGGGAGGGGGAGGATTTTCAGACAAAAAAAAGGGGGCCGTAAGGTATCAGCTCATAGCAGCATTATGGTTTAATTCTCATTCAGGTGGTCGGGAAAGGCTGGGTGGACGTCCAGTAAGGAGGAGCGAGGGCTGGTGGCGGGAGGAGGGGAAAAAAAGGAATATAGTTGCATCACTGTCAAGAAAATGAGAGTGGGGGGACCGACACGCAGGCCTGACTCTGGGCTGACCGCTGCCCCCTACAGGCTGAAACAGAGCGGCTCGCCCTTGGGGCAGCGTTCATGCGTCTGCAGCTGCGGCGACATCACCGCACCCGCGGGAGGAAGGCCGGGGCCGGGGGGAAGGGGGGGAGGGGGAACGGGGAAAGGGTGGTATGGGGGGGCGGAGGGAGAGAGAGAGAGACAGCGGCAGCGTCATCATGCAGCGGCCACAGTTAACGGCGGGCGGTGAGAAAGGTCACAGGTCACTCGGCCTGCGGCTCCGTGGGGGGCCTCTAGGGGGCGCTCTGAAAGGCACACACACACAGGAGTGGACAGTGGGTGCATATTAGAAAATAGTGGTCTCATACTTGGTGTTGACTCCTCTCTTGGCCTCCTGCCCCGGCTCCACTATCCACGGCACGTTGGCGTGGCCTTTCTGATCCATGGACGGCTGCTCCATCTAGGGGGGGGGAGAGATG